AAGGTTCGCGAATGTAAAATGCGTGAATGAAAATCAGTCGCTTCTGAACGTTAACCCCTTTATCATCAAAAAGGTCCTTGATGGTCAAGTGGACGGCGACTTTGATTTTGTCAAAAAATTGCGAGATGGAAGCCTCCTTGTTAAAGTACAATACAACTCCCAGATTAAGGATTTACTTAAGCTGACGCAAATTCATGATCTTAGAGTTAAAGTAACTATTCCCATTGGCCCAAATACCTGTAAGGGAGTAATCTTTCACAGGGATTTGAGGACGATGGAAGAAAGTGAAATTCTCGAGAGCATGAAGGACCAAGACGTAGTGGACGTTCATTGTATGACCAAGAAGGACGGGAATATGCGAACGAAAACTGGACTGTGTTTTTTGACCTTTGCCTTGAATAAAATCCCTGAATATGTCAATGTCGGCTATGAGCGTGTTCAAGTAAGACCGTATGTCCAAAAGCCAATGCATTGTAATAGATGCCAAAAATTCGGACACACCTCATTAAGATGTATTGATAAAGACTCTACTAAATTCACTTGCCGTAAATGTGCTGAAGCCCATGACACCATCACTTGTACTAGCCAGATTTCCAAATGTGCTAACTGTGGAGGTCCCCATCAATCAGGATCTGCCGAGTGCAGCATCCTGAAGAAGGAGACTGAGACATTGGCATATATGAGAAAGCATGAAGTTAGTTATACTGAGGCTAAGAGGAAAGTTGAAAGTTTGACACACAAACCTGATACTTCCTATGCTGCAGCACTAACTAACAACACCCCTAGCACAAGTGATGTCAGTCAACAGCTTGCAGCTAAAGATAAGGAAATTGCCGAACTCAAACAAACTGTCAAAGAATTGAACATTAAAGTATACCAACTGACTAAATTGGTCGATCAAATGGCTGCATCAACCCAGCATAAACATCAAAAGGAGGATGATACCGAATCACAGTCCGGAGCGCACCTTCCCGTCCGGGCTACTCCTGTGAGGACTTCGTCTGGCTCGCGATCGGTTTCTCGAGAGAGAAGCAGATCGCAATCTGTCAGTCGTCTCCCTCGCCAGGAGGTGCAGGACATGGAGGCTTCTGTCTCCAAACCATCCCGTGAGAGGTCCCCGGGAAGCGAGGGAGAGGAGGCGCCTCCCTCCCATAAAAAGAAAATCCGAACTGGTGGACAAGGCACTTCCAAACCCCATAAAACGTAATCTTCGCGTCGACCATTATTCAATGGAACTGTCGAAGTATTAGATCTAAAGTAAATGAACTTAAATTATTAGCCTCGTCCTATGCTCCCGATATTATAGTCCTCCAAGAAACCCATTTAACAGAATTCGTCTCTGACGAGGTTGTTTCGCTGAGGAACTACCATCTGTGTCGGAAGGATCGTGAGGGTAGGGGTGGAGGCGGAGTCGCCATGTACATCCACCAAAACCTCCCTTTTACAGAAGTGACTTTTGATTCTACTTTGGAGTTTGTCGCATGCAAAGTAAAAATTAATGGCACGTATCTGGCTATATGTTCAGTTTATTGTCCACCTGATACAGTGATAATCTATGATGAGCTGTTTGCTCTTCAGGAACGTCTGCCACAAAATAAAGTAATTTTAGGTGATTTTAATGCTCATCATACGTTATGGGGTTCCCTGCGGGTGGATGGTAGAGGTGAGCAAGTAGTTAAGCTGATTAATGAGTCTGATTTAGTCCTTCTGAACGATGGTAGTCCCACGCGGGTGGACGATAATACCGGTAATTTGAGCTTTATTGACCTATCACTGGTCTCTTCATCAGTAGCAGCTAAGTGCCTGTGGCACACCATTGACGACTCGTTGGGAAGCGATCACCTTCCTATTTTGATTAAATATTCATGCGACACAATGAGAACGCCTTCAGCACCTAAATTTAACGTAAAAAGAGCAGACTGGGTCGCCTTCACAAGGAGCGTCAAGCTCGAACTAGTTGGAGAGACCATTGATGATAAAGTAAACAACATTCAGAATTCGATTTTAGAAGCAGCTTTGCTATCCATTCCTAAAACTTCGACAGACAGCGTTAAGCATAGAGTTCCATGGTGGACACCAGATTGCCGCAGGGCGCTGTGCCGACGCAATAAGGCCTACAGGCTTTTCAAAAATAACATCACAAACGAGAACTTTTGCAATTACAAACAAGCAAGAGCTAGGGCTCGTAGAGTAATTAGACAAGCTAAAAGAGACTCCTGGCGGAGCTTTGTCTCTACAATAAACAATAACACAAAAACATCAGAGGTTTGGTCCACTATTAATAAAATCAATAAGAAAAAAACATCTTTTAAAATTAACAACATCATTGATGAGGGTAACAATTTGGATTCACCTAGAGACATTGCTAATGCACTCGCCAGGCAGTTCTCTCATACAAGCAGTTCAGCAAACTACCATCACGCATTCCTGCCCATCAAGGAAGCGGCTGAACTGCAACCAATTCACTTTGCCACAGGAGATGACTTTGATTATAATAAAGACCTTACAATAGAAGAGCTTGTCCGAGCCCTAGAAGCCTGTAGAGGAACATCCCCAGGCCCCGATGAGATTCGATATGAGATGATGAAGCATCTTAATCATGGTGACATGATTAAGTTGCTAGAAGTGTACAATGAAATTTGGAAAAGCCACACTTTTCCAAACTCATGGCACTTCGCCCACATCATTCCCATATTGAAAGGAGGGGGTAATCCCAAACTTGCCATCTCCTACCGCCCAATTGCGTTGACAAGTTGCTTATGCAAGGTCATGGAAAGAATTGTTAACAGTAGGCTATTGCATTTTTTAAATTCCAGTCATTTGCTAGTTGACGAGCAGTGCGGTTTCCGAAAGGGACGCCAAACTCTCGATCAACTAGTAAAGCTGGCCAGTCATATTGAAGAGGCAATTGCCAAGAAAGATTTTTTAATTTCAGTATTTTTAGATATAGAAAAAGCCTACGACATGACATGGCGATATGGCCTACTCAGAAAACTTTATGCTTTTGGATTACGTGGAAACTTGCCTTGTTTTATTCAAAATTTCATTTCTGACAGAACGTTTGCTGTCAAATTAATTTCTGAAAATGTCACTTTTTCGGACATTTTTGTCCAGGCAAACGGGGTCCCACAAGGAAGTGTCTTGTCACCAACATTATTTCTATGTATGATCAATGACATCTTACCAGCTCCCCCTCGGAATCTTAAATACTCACTGTACGCTGATGATTGTGCATTATGGCACTCCAGCAATAATGCAGAATTCTCAGCAAATCGCATCCAATTGGCACTGGATATGATTCATAACTGGGGCCTCCAGTGGGGTTTTAAGTTTTCCATTAGAAAAAGTATTGGGGTAATTTTTTCACATAGGAAAAAGCCGAACATCAGGCTAACTCTAGACAACCACCCAATACCAATTCAAAATTCTGCTAAATTTCTTGGGCTACTTTTTGATAGTAGACTCAATTGGAAAGACCACATTGGTCAGTTAAAGAATAAATGTCAAAAAGCACTAAATTTATTAAAGTGCATTTCTGGTAATAAATGGGGAGCTGATAGACAGTCTTTGCTAATGATATATAAAGCCCTGATTAGGTCTAAAGTAGATTATGGGTCAATCGTGTATGGTTCGGCATCAAGAACAAGTTTGAAAGGTTTGGATGCTGTGCAGAATGCTTGTTTGCGTGTGTGTGTTGGAGCCCTGAAATGTACTCGGATCGAGCGTCTTGAGGTGGAGTCAGGAGTACCTCCCCTCCGACTCAGACGCGGCCAGTTAGCCCTGAGCTATGCCGCGAAGGTGGCTCGAGACCCGAGCCACCCTAATGGCAATGGAGGCATTAGGCCCTTTGCCACAAGACTCCACGACCTCGCCGAGAAAGTCGGTATAGATCTCTCTACCATCGATACCCTGGTTCATTCAAATATAGCGCCATGGGAAACCCCTAACTTTTCGATCATGGAAGCCTGGCTTCCATCAGCCAAGGCCATGGCGCCGGAGGTGGAGGTACGCCAGAGGTTCAGAGAGATCCTTATTAAACATCTAAACTTTTTTCATATATATACCGACGGCTCCAAAACAGATGAGTGTGTGGGTGCGGGTGTATGGTCGACTGAATGTGAACTAAAGTTCAGACTGCCGAATCGTGCATCGATTTTTATTGCCGAACTTTTTGCCATTGACAAAGCTATTGATTTTGCTCTATCGACGACCCACGATAGAATAGTTATTTTTTCAGATTCATTAAGTTCTCTTAAAGCTATTAAATCCTTAGAAACCACTAAAAATGAATTGCTGGGTAATATCATTCGTAAGTTACATGGTGCCAACAAATCAATCAAGCTAATATGGGTGCCAGGTCACTCTGGTATCCATGGCAACGAACAGGCAGACAAACTAGCCGGGTCAACTGGCGATCTGGACACTACCATAGTTCGTACAGATCTCAGGTGTTTTGTGTCTCTTATAAAAGCAAAAATACATCTCCTGTGGCAAAGTGAGTGGACCAACCTCCAACTCACAAACAAATTCAAGCACACTATAGAAATGTGGGATACGTCTCACAGGAAAAGCAGAAGAGAGGAGGTGGTGTTGGCACGTCTGAGAGTCAATGCCACAAGACTCACCCACCTCACTCCATATATTGAAAGAAGATTTCCTGCACAGTGCCCTCATTGCACCAACTACATCACAATAGCCCACCTTTTCATAACCTGCCACCAATTCAATAACCAGAGACAACCTTTAAAAAATTATTTCAGAATTAAAAACATACCCTTTACTACATCAAACCTATTATCAGACAATGAAAAAATAATTCAAAAAGTAATTGCTTTTCTAAGGGAGACAAAACTTTATGACCTTATATAGATTGATAGAATAAATAGGATCCATTGGCTTAATAACCTTGGCCACATGCCGCTGGTTGATAGCCAAGAAATCCAACAAAAGTAAAAAAAAAGTGACCAATTCAGTCTACTTCTGCTGTGTATACCCTGAAGATGCCCCGGAAAACCAGAGCAACCACTTCTACTGCCGCCGCTCGTCCTGGTGACTTTCCAGACGACCCCCCGCCTTCCAACTCGCTTTTACGACTTGTCCTCAGACGATGAGGAAGGCGAGGTGTAAGTGCCGAGGGGAAGGTGTATTTTCGACAGCTCCAGTGACGGTAACGGCAACAGCGACAACGGCGATGATTCTGATCTAGATTACGTGTCCCAAGAGGACACTACTATAGATCCAGATGAGCCGTTGTCGGCCTATTTGGAGCGACGGCGGGAGAAGACGGCTCCCGGACAACCTGGGTTCCGGTGGAGGAAGAAGGAGAATGTCCCCAGGCAGTTTGGTTTTGACGTCCATCCTGGTGTCAACATCCCCGAGCTGGACGCCGATTCCAGCCCGCTGGAGATATTCTCCTACTTCTTCACCGATGAGCTCATGGATGTGCTCGTCCGCGAGACAAACCGGGAAGTTCACGTAATATTTTTCAGTTCCAAATACGCATATCGCGTCTTATTGGGTATATATATGTTTCGTGAATATAAAAACTTCTGCATTAGTTCTGTTACATAATTTTCGCTTATTGTGTACAATGACTATAATGTTTGCCTTCTTATTTTTTCAGGTTCTACCGTCAAAGACCAGCCCCCAGTTCTGTCTCAGAGCTTTCAGTCTACATTGGCCTTAGGATGGCCATGGGACTGACCATCAAGCCTGAGCAGAGGGGTTACTGGTCGACCAACCTCTACGACTCCACGCCCCTGTTCCCGGAGACTATGCCGAGGGATCGTTTCGATCAACTGAGCCGATTCCTCCCCGTGGCGGACAACGAGGGGAGTCATCCCCCCGATGACCGCCTGTGGAAGTTGAGGCCAGTGATCGAAATCTTCCAGCGGTAGTTCTCGTCGGTCTACACTCCTCGGAGGATTACGGTCGATGAGAGTCTCTGGAAATTTCGGGGGCGCTTTGCAGCCGTGACCTTCAACCCCAGCAAGCGCGCGCACTTCGGGGTGAAGGTTTATAAGCTCGCGGTCAGTGAAGGCCCGAACCACGGCTACATATGCGCCTTCGAAATTTACATGGGCAAGGACAAAGGCGAAGTACCTGCATCCCAGAGGGCTGTCGTCAACTTGATGGGCGCCGCTGGCTTATTTGATAAGGGGTACCACTTGTATACAGACAACTGGTATACTTCCCCTTATCTTATTCTATTACCTGCAGACTTGGGGGCACGAATGCGGTTGGCACGGTTCGTGTCAACCGAAAATTCATGCCCAAAGATCTGCAGGTAAGAGCCAGCGGAGATGTGGACAGTCAGAGCACGTCAACAGACATGTGCCTTCAATGGCGCGACAAGTGTGTTGTAACGATGCTCTCGACTGTTCATAGAAGCGAGATGGTCGCCACCCTGTCCCAGAGTGGTATTGCCCGGCGCAAACCACAAGTAGTCGCCGACTAC